ACCGAGCGAACGGCGTTTGCCAAAGAGTTGCTTCTTTTCCAGCCAACGGGAAGTCGGTGACATGGAAGCTCGGCGCTGACAACGACGTCTGGGTCTGGGTGATGGGTGAGCATCCTTCAGATAAATCGTACGCGGCCATCTGTGAAGAGATCCAGGCACAACGGGTGAAGCGGATAGCGGGAGAGCAGAGCAAGGAGGGCAGGTAAGCACCCTTGCGAGCATCCTTCAGATAAATCATACGCGGCCATATGTGAAGAGATCCAGGCACAACGGGCGAAGCGGATAGCGGGAGAGCAGGGCAAGGAGGGCAGGTAAGCACCCTTGGGCCGGAGGACTCGGTGGGCAGACCCAGGGACGCATTTCTAGGGAGCTGGAGGCTGGCTCCTTCTCTGCAGGGGCTGTGGTGACCACTCTCACACTGGGCTTGCAAGGCAAAGGGTGGCTCTCTGCGAGCGCACACGATGCCGGCAGGGACCAGCTCCCGCCGGAGGCTCACCCCGGCTCATCCAGCCTCCCGCAATACCCTCTGCAGCCCATGGGAAATGCTGTTATTGCAGTGGGTGATGAGTTTGGGTTGCACTGATTCACCGGCGGCTGCCCACGCACAGCGGGATGACAGTTACTCACCACAAGTCATTAATTTAATTATTCCACCTACCCGACTGGGAGATAGGATAGCTTCCCGCACGCAGGTCGCTCCGTCGCAGAACTGCGCTGCTCACGTGCAGCTTCCTCGCAGGATGCTCAGAGAGCAGACAGTGACTCCCTCAGGTTCCCAAGTCCTCTCTCCCTTGCGTTTCAGAGAGACTGACTCTTCCGTAACACAGTCTCTACATCCACAACCAGGAGTCCTGGGTGAGACAGATCTTCACGGGAATAAAAAAAGCACTGTGGAGGAAAAGAAGGAAGGTGGGAGAAAAACTGCTGCTGCTGCAACAGGGAAAAGCCAGGAGGTCACAAAGGTAGTTTTACTCCTTTTCTCCATAACTGCCAGAAATGTGCTTTGAGATCCAGGAGGTGCAGCAAATCCTGGTGGCTATAAATAGGAGTTTGAAGAAGAAAAACCAGCCAGCTAATTGTTAAGGCTTTTCTTAGGTAGTCAGAGAAGCCACATAGTCACGTCCTTCCTCAGGACTCGGGAGGGCCGAGTGCTATTCGCAGCTGGGACAGATCAGCTCTGTACTGATGGAGAAGTTACTCTGGATTCCTTTGTTTCCGTTCTCCGTGGGTAAAACAAGGGTCACAGAACTTTCCCTCCATCTCTGTGGCTGGTTTAGATGGCTTTTGGGGCAAGAGCAGGGAGGCTATCCCAGGATCTGTGCATACAGCCCTCAGACAAATCATCTACTTCTAAAAAAGAATGTACGAAGGTAATTTCACCAGCATCCTCTGCCGTGGATATTTTAGGATTTGGGGTTTTTTTGTCTTCTAAAATAAGTTTCAAAGCAGCATATGACCTTGACAGCACAGGGAAACTCCAAAAGCAGTAACTACAGTGTCTGCACTGTGGTGTTTCATGACAGAAATATTTTTCTCTGGCAATAAATAAATTTCTACTTTTTACCTTTTTTTATAGAATGGTGTGGGTTGGAAGGGACCTTAAAGCCCATCTAGTTCCAACCCCCCTGCCATGGGCAGGGACACCTTCCACTAGACCAGGTTGCTCCAAGCCTCATCCAGCCTGGCCTTGAACACTTCCAGGGATGGGGCATCCACAGCTTCTCTGGGCAACCTGTCCCAGTGCCTCCCCACCCTCTCTGGGAAGAATTCCTTCCTGATATCCAATCTAAACCTCCCCACTTTCAATTTAAACCCATTACCCCTTGTCCTGTCACTACAGGCCCTTGTAAAAAGTCCCCCCCAGCTTCCTTGTAGCCC